CATTTTTTTTTTTTTTTTTTTAATCTTTATTGAACAAATCATGATACAATTCTCAGGAAACAGAAACGGCGCTAATCCAATCACCGAAAACACATGGCCAGTCTCGACGTAAGGCCTTCTCGTTAGCCCTAGTACGCAGACGAGAACAAGTCAGGATACAGGATACAGATCACGAGTCTGAGACTCGTGATCTGATTGGCTATTGAAACCTGACTGTGCCCGTTCGCTTACAGCGCACAGGGGCCTGCTCTGTTTAATCTGAAGGCCCCGAGCAAGTTTAATTTACCTGGCAATGCAAGCTAGCTGAAATATGATTGGTAAAAACTCTACCACAATAAATAAGTTATTTATCGAGTGGCTTTCAATAAGCCACTCAACTCAGTGGAAATAATATGATGTAAAGAATACAGAGAATAATTTTGTTTACATATTTATGAAAATAAAATAACAAATTATAAAATAACATAAAATACATAAAAGTAAATTTACTTTTCTGAGAATGTTTAGGCCAGCAGAGAAGGCCTTGCTGGCCCTCAGGGTCCGCCACTGGCGGTAACTGATAACGGCAACGTACGATGACTCTGACGTATGCGACGTAAAAGAGGAACGGTCGCATCTTCTACCCTTGGAGTTTGTGGAGTTTTTTAAAAGTGACACCGAGGATGAAGATTTTTTTTTCGATTTAGTGATTTGAAGTGACACTGATGGTTTTGTAAACTTGTTAGCATATTCTTTACGCTACAGTTAGGTTACGTGAACATAACAGGCACGTTCTCAGTTCGTTGTGTATGTGTCGTGCAACGTTAGCATATCGTACACTTATTCAGTGGGTTGTTCTCTGTTTTTATTTTTATTTTAAATTGCCTTTAACGATGGCATGTCTGTTCTTGGTGTTGGATTTTATCAAATACATTTTCCCCCAAAGTGCGAGTTATACTCCAGTTGTTTTTCATTATGCATTTTATGGCTGGTTCGATTTAGACCCCGGAGCGATTTATAATTCGGAAAATACGGTAAATGTGTGCTTGAATGGGTCGAAATGGTGAAGGAAAAAAAAAACAGCGTTTTGGTGCTCAGATCACATGGACTTACGTGCATTTTGCGGTGTAGAAAAGATCACCGGTTACCCCCTCAGGTGAATCCCACTTCAGCACCAAATTCATGTTCATGGAGGTTAGACGGACATTTCTGGGTGGGCTGAGGACAGCTAAAATCACGACACAGTCAGGAGAACACATCAGGTTTTACAATGTTGATGTCGTGATGCATTAGCAATTTCACAAACAATGCTGAAGTTGAATCATTAATGACCGGGACGGTATTTATACAGTGTATATAAAAAGTCTACACATCAAGTTGAAATACCAACGCTTCATTGCCTGTATGAACCACCTGATCAATGTTCCCTCTAAGCTGCGCAATTGCCCAACTGCGCACTGAGTGTTCGCACACTCTCAGCGCACAAGAAAACCTATCCGGCGCAGTGAAGGCACTTCAAATGATTTAAATATTTACATAATATTTTTTACTGCATCATTTTGCTGTGTAATTCAGTGAGTGACAGGTATCCAGCCAATCATACGATACGATGCAATGAGGCTATGCAGCCAATCACGGCTTGACAGTACTTGCGCATGTGCTCGGCTCTTACACACGCCTTAACAATAGTGCGGCGGAGATAAGTGACGCTAATGCTAATCCTTGATCATGGCGAAATGAGCGGGCACTGAATGCGATACTTCGACGAGCCAAATCAAAATAAAAATGAACTGCAGTTCTTTTAATGGCTGTCGGAGTATGTGCATTTGTTTTTCTTATTTCAGTGGGACAGTGCACATTAATCAACAAATGAAATAGAAGAACAAGCAGTGAAACTGGGTGAGATTTTTTCTTTTTCGAGTGAGAAAGGTCCGCTCTGCAAGGCCTGCAGCGAAGCTGAAGTTGTAAGCTTGCAACAACTGGACTAAATGGAAGTTGGACTACCTCAAGCGACACATTCAGCGGAAAAGTCATTTGAATGCTGTTGGAATTGCAGGACAGACGTGAAAACTAAGGTAAAAGTCAGATTTGTGCATATTCTAGTGACATTTATTAAGATGCTTTATTTATGGATATTAATCATTAAATTATATTATGACTAGATAATTTATGAGTAGTACAAATGCTAATAAAAGACACTGTATCACAAGATACAGCACACATCATTGTGGAAAATGTGAATGTTTAATGTGAACAAAATACTGTATTACGTCTGAAGGATGTGTATGTCTCATTCTTTCAAGAGCAAGACCCTCATCCGGGCCAAAACTGGACCTCACCGACCAAAGCCAAAGTTGGACTCTCACGAACAATCAATGAGTTTTGTCTTTTTCACTTTAAGTGGGCCAAATTAGTTGTATTAAAAGCAAACTGATGGAAATTGCTGTTGTAATTTGATTCTTTGAATTAGCCATTAACTTTCTAAGATCCCAGGTGTGATACTAGTGTGTAGCCACAGCAAACACTTCTGATGTTGCTCATGGTGGTCCTCAGTGTGCTCAGGGAGCTTGTCTGTTTGCCCAGACATATGAAAAATTAGAGGTAACATTGCACCAAATTAGTTTGCAGCCCAATCAATTGACAATTAAGTGAGTCGTTGGGGTGGTATTGATTCTCCAATCAGTATGATCAGAGATCACACCCTGTCTATGTCTATGTCAGTAAGTACAGCATTTGTCTAGGGCCATAGGTGTGATTCCCATACAGTACTGTTTCCCAACCGGGAGGACATGAGCGCATTTCAGAAAATATTTGAGTGTTTCATTCAAGCTCAGTTCACTGACAAAAACAAAGTAAAACTGTTATAGAGCATCTGAATATTACTCTTGATCAGATGTTTTGTTGTAATGATGTAATATTTAAAGTTTAACTGCCTGCTTAAAAAGGACTTATTCACAGGAGATATCAGTTACATTGATGACCGAAGTGCAAAACTTCCTTTCTGCAGGATTTTCTGATTGGCGCATTTCGCCTCGACAGATGGCATTCTGCAAGGAAACAACAAATTTGAGTTTCTCTAAAAAGTACGTTTTTCAGATCTGAGGCCATATTCCTGCCATTGATACAACAAATTGGCTGGCAACCGGTTCAGGGTGTCCTCCGCCAACTGCCCGAAGGCGGCTGGGATAGGCTCCAGCACCCACCTCCCCCTACCCTTGTGAGGATAAAGCTGATCGGAAAATGGATGGATAGATGCCTCTTTGAAGTGCAACTCCCGCCTTTTGACTCCCCTTGTTCTCTTGATGTCCATGGGGAGGGGCACGCTTTATCACTCTAATTCAGGGGTCCCCAACCGCCGGTCCGCGGACCGGTACCGGTCCGCCGGGCATTTGGGACCGGGCCGCCCAGAAAGAACCTGCCTTATTTCCGTTTTATTTATTTCGGAATACGAAATGTGTTTTATTTTGAAAAATTCCCGGATTCTCTGTTACATCCGTCTGTGTCACGCTTGACTCACGTCAAGCCACACTTCTCGGTCACGTGACCGA